TATATTATTTTTTTTTATTTTTTTTAACTTTTATAATATATGTTCTATTACTTGGTTTTGAATGTTTAACAAAATTTATATAAAATTTATTTATATGTATGAAAATAATTTATGATTATTTTAAATACTTTTTAACTTATTTTAATAAGTTTCATAATTCAATTTATGTCCTAAGCAATTACGTAATGATAGAGTTTATTGAATACATGTTTAATTGGAAAAATGATAAATCCTCCAAAAGGACTATGTTACTTTAAAAGATACAACATATCTCGTTTAACTAAGTTGTTTATATGCATATCCTTAATATCACATGTCATTACTAACATTTGTTTGGTAAAGAATAATTACTAAAATATTTAATCTTCTTAAAAAATATTATTAAAACAAAAATTAAAAAATATGTAGACAGAAGACTTAATTGTAATTTTATTTTCAAAGTATTGTAATTATACAATTTTTGTATTCAAAATTTTAATTGAATAAATTTTAGTCTTTAAATATTGTAATTATATGATTATGGTATTCTAAATTTTAAATGAGAAATTTTAACTTTTTAACTTTTTAAATTTGAGTTATATATAATTATTTTTATTCATGTATTTAATGATATATTTATTCTTACTAAATAAATAAAATTTATATATTATTAGTATATTTATAAAAGAAAATAATTATTTCTTAAATATAAGTTAGTATATGTTAATATACTTGAAAAATATATTAAAAATATTAATTTAAAATACCAATATATCATGTTATTCATTAATATCACATCAACAAAATTATTGAATCTTTAATGAAAGAGACTAATTGTGATTCTTAAGAAATTAAAATTATTTAATTTTAAATTAAAATATCAAAAATATACTATTATAATAATTGAATAGCTAAAATTATTTAATTAGAATTTAAAATACTAAAATTACATAATTAGAATACTTGATAAACAAAAATATATTTAAATTTACTGTGTACAGAATATATAAATTATATCTGAAAAGGTATATAAAAATACACATTAAAATATTTATACAAAAAAATTTACTTAATATTGACTATATTTTTATTTTATTTATTAAATATTCTTTTGATAATCATAGTTTTAGTTGTCAGTTTGATTTTTGAAAGTTTTTCGTATCAATTCAAAACTACAATCACAACTTTATATTCAAACTGTTTGTAAATTTACTTAACAAGATTAGTACTGGTATCACTCACAACTGAAAATTACCATTTTTAATTTATTTTTTTGATTTTGTCAACTTTTTAAGGCTCACCTAACATATTATTATTAAGTTTAAAATAAATTTTAAAGAGAAATTTTAAAAAATTAATAATAATGTTTTTAAAAAAACAATTTTTTTTCTAAAAATAAACCTTTAAAAAATATTTATACTTGTATATCTTTTAAAGATGAATTTTTTAAAGTAAATTTTAAAAATATAAAAAAAATTTAAATTATGGAACATTCAAAAAATTTATAAATATTAATATAAAATGTTTTTTAACAGGCCTAAAATGAGACTTTTGTTAACTTATCTTTTGAACTGGCCCTGTTTCTCATCTAAAAAACCTTCAAACTCAAATTGATAATTTAATATTTAATTTTAGAAAAAAAATCTTTTAGTTAAGTTATAATAATTTATTTTTGATATTTTTTTGAAACATATATATATATATATATATATATATATATATATATACATATTAATTGACTGAATATTTGTTTTCACTTTTTTGTACATTATCTTAATTTTCAAAGTATCATTTGATTAATTAAACTAGTTAAATTTTTAACCTTTGTTCATGAAATATACTGTTACTTGAGAAAATAAATATTGATTTTTTAGATATTATTATAAATAGTTAATATTAAAACGAATAAATTATGAATATTTTAAAAAGTTATGCAACTTTTTTAAGTGACTTTAAAACCTATAATATATTATTCATATTTTATCATTTTACCCTCTTATATTTATAATTTTTCCTCTTCATTATTGCACATTTATATTTATAAGAAGATTATGGAATCAATTTTTACATAAAAAAATCCGTTTAATAAGTTGTTATTATAGCCCAAGTATTTTAAAAAAATAGTTTAGTAAAAAATACAGAATGTTAACAAAATGGAGAGATAATATTAACATACATACAGCTTTCCCAAACCAAAACTCTAAATTGTGCGCACTACATCTGCGAGTGGGGACAGAGTGTGACAGAGACCCTACCATGCGAGATAACAACGTCTACAGACAAAAGCCACATAAATATTATATTAATAAGCCTAAAAATTTAAGAGAGAGAAACATAGAGAGAGAGAGAGCGCACTTTACCACTTTTATATGTTGCACGCATCCATCCACAGCAGAAAACACAAGGAGGACAAGGGTACTCCACAGACAAGAGAAAGAAAGAAAACCCCATTTAAAGCTTTTTTCTTTTTGTACTGTGCACATCACAAGGAGAACAAAGATGGGTTTTTGAACCATCACATAGAGAGAGAAACAAGAAAAGAAATAGGGGTATTGGAGAAAAACAAGGAGAAGCTGTGCAAGTGAAAGAAGATGAAGGAGGAGAATAAACGAGGTGAGGTGTGTTTGTTATAGTTGTTGTTCTTTGTTGTTGCTGAAATGGGTTTGTTGAACTCAACTGCATGTATTTGACTACTAGTGTCTTAAAGCTCAGATCTTTGTCTTTAGTTCTCACCACAAATTTCCCACATGGTGTTTTGAGGTCATCAATTTGTTCACCGAGTCCTTAACTGAAACCCATTTTGTTGGTTTTTGTGTGGTGGAGTTTGCTGTTGTACCAACTTGTTGGGGTTGATTTAGATGAAGGCCGTGCCCCTACCCTTTCAGGAATTTAGAGGGAACGGGGTGTTAGATTTTGCTTCTGGTGCTGTTGCTGTTTCAGATTCGTTGTTACTCCCACAGCAAGAGCAATTTCTGCAAAGGTGGAATCCCCACAGGGAAAACTGTTGCTATGTGGGCATTGAGCCCTCTTCTGGTTTGGACCCCAAAAGGAAAACAAGCCCTCCCACATCCTCCTCTACACTGTCTTCCTCACGCGGCGGAGGAGGAGGCTGCGGCTCCACCGATAGCACCAAGGTCTCGTCTGAGAAGGAGAACAATCCACCTCAAGTAGGGTTAGGAAGATGTGGGTTGGGAATGGAGGATTGGGAGAGTGTGTTGTCTGAGTCACCAGGTCAAGATCATTCCATTCTGAAATTCATTATGGCGGACATTGAGGACCCATCTATGGCATTGACCAAGCTATTGCAAGGTGGAACTGCATCTCATGATGTTGAATTCAATGGTTTTGGTTTGGTGGATCAAAGTTCTGTGCTTGACCCCATTCCTAGTGTCAACCTTGTGAGCAGCATTGACCCTTCTGGTCCCGGGAATTGTTCTGATTTCCCTTTCAATTCCCACAATAATGTTGGCTCAAATATTCCCAGAGTTGGTTCTGGTGTGAATCCAAGCCCCGGGTTTACTGCTTCAGCTAGCAATCTCTCACCAGTTTCACTCCCTCCGGGTGTGTTTCAGCCACAGCAGCAGCAGCAGCAACAGCCAATGGAGCCTATGGATGAGAAGCTACAAGTTCTCAGTTCCCAGTTCATTTTGAACCAAAATCCATCTCAGTTTATGCCAAACCCAGGTTTGGTTTTGCCTTTGACATATAGTCAGCTGCAAGAACATCATCAGCTTCTCCCTCAGCCTCCGGCGAAACGCCTCAATTGTGGCCCAAATTATCAGGTTCCAAAGACACCCTTTTTAGACTCTGGCCAAGAGCTGTTACTTCGGAGGCAGCAACAACAGCTTCAACTGCTTCCTCACCATATGCTGCAGAGGCCATCCATGGTGATGGCACCGAAGCAGAAAATGGTGAACCCCAGCGGCGAAGACTTGGCAAACCACCAGCTTCAACAGGCTATAATTGAACAGCTTTTCAAAGCTGCAGAGCTGATCGATGCCGGTAATCTGGAACTCGCGCACGGGATATTGGCGCGGCTCAATCACCAACTTTCTCCCATTGGGAAGCCTTTTCAAAGGGCTGCTTTCTATTTCAAGGAGGCCTTGCAATTACTTCTCCATTCAAATGCCAACAACAGTTCTTTGACCTTCTCACCCACGGGTCTTTTGCTCAAGATTGGTGCTTACAAATCATTCTCAGAAGTCTCACCAGTTCTGCAGTTTGCCAATTTCACCTGTAACCAAGCACTGCTTGAAGCCGTGGAAGGGTTTGATCGCATACACATAATAGATTTTGATATTGGGTTTGGTGGACAGTGGTCTTCTTTCATGCAAGAGTTAGCACTCAGGAATGGTGGTGCACCTAAACTCAAGATCACTGCATTTGTGTCACCTTCCCACCATGATGAAATTGAGCTCAGTTTCACCCAGGAGAATCTGAAACAATATGCTGGGGAGATTGACATGTCCTTTGAGCTTGAAATTCTGAGCCTGGAGTCTTTAAATTCTGCTTCCTGGCCCCAGCCACTTCGTGACTGCGAAGCTGTTGTGGTTAACATGCCTATTGGCTCTTTCTCAAATTACCCATCATATATTCCTTTGGTCCTTCGCTTTGTGAAGCAGCTCATGCCAAAAATTGTGGTTACATTGGATAGAAGTTGTGATCGAACTGATGCACCATTTCCTCAGCATCTGATTTTTGCACTTCAGTCTTATTCAGGGCTTCTCGAGTCACTTGATGCAGTTAATGTTCACCCAGATGTCCTTCAGATGATTGAGAAGTATTATCTTCAACCAGCAATGGAGAAGCTTGTTTTGGGTTGTCATGGTTCACAGGAAAGAACACTTCCTTGGAAAAATCTTCTCTTGTCATCTGGGTTCTCACCATTGACATTTAGTAACTTCACAGAATCCCAGGCCGAGTGTTTGGTGCAAAGGACACCTGGTAAGGGTTTCCATATTGAGAAGAGGCAGTCTTCCCTTGTTCTTTGCTGGCAAAGGAAGGATCTTGTCTCAGTTTCAACTTGGAGATGCTGAGGGGAGCCATTCTGCACCTTTGAATTACCAATTAATTTTAAATTTGAAGGTGCTTTATAACTTACTGCTTCTATTGATCTTTCTTGCTTGAATTTGCCTTGGCTATGGTTCTATGCTAATTGTCTGTTTTTAGGATTTATTATTTCCAGTGAAGGAAGTGAACATATTAATTAGTAACTGAATGGCATCTATGACCTCTTATATCTAGTGTATTACTATAAATATGGGCATTCTATTTATGCATTTTGTCTCGTTTGCATTGCCTTATTTGATGGACTTTTCTCTGATGCTCGACAAGAAAGTAACATTAGTTATCATGTAAAGTTGAGGCTTTGTCAGATCCATGATAAAGTCTCTCTAGCACATGTTGTAAGCTCACTTTGTTATATGACACTATTCAAGTAGTTTAACGTAACACTTAACAGTTCTTCAAAAATGGGATTCTTCAATTGGTTTGGTAGTTTGGGAAAATTGCATTTCATATACATTTTGTCTGCACACTTTTCAACTAGAATAATTGATATGTTGTAGCCACGTTTTTTATGAATAATTTTTGTGGTTTCTGAACCTAGTTGAACCGACTGATCCTGATATCTTAAGCAGTAATGAGGAAATATTTAATCTGCACAATTTTGCTTCAAGTCTTCCGTGTTTTAACTTACAAGTTGCCTACTAATTTTTAGGGACCTGATTGCTATCATCACCTACTCTGATACTAGTGGGACTATTCTTCATTGCATGGCGTCACTTTTTCTTATGCTATTTTCACTTAGATTATTATCGTTAGGCCTCGTTACTAGCTGGTTACTTCAATCAAATGCCATAATTTGTTTATTATTACTCAGAAAATCTACACAAAGAAGTCGTAGTTATTGCCATTTGTCACGGCTGATCTTAGGAGATTGAAAATAGTTGTAGATACTAAGTAGTGTTTGGTTGCGGCAATGCTTTTGGACCCTCTATTCTCTCTCATATCACGATGGAAAGAGTGAGGATCCAAATCTATACTAAAATTCTAATTGAAAATGAATCTACATCTAGAAATCTTTAATTGCTAGAGTTTTGAAATCCACAATATTTTTTTCGTCACTTTTCCCCTTTTGATTCATTTGCTTTTATGAATTATTACCAAGGATAGCTTGATAAATTTTTTGAGGATCGTGTCACCTAAATTCTCTCAAAACACCTGTATCGGTAGGGTATAACTAATTTTCATTTTATAATTCTCCTATGGTCAATCGTAATGGGTTTAGTAATCTGCTAGATTTATTACTCTTTCATTACCATTATTATTATCTGTATGTGGCTGAATATTTAAGACATTGTGTACCATTTTATTTGGGCATGCCAACGCTTGTATTATAAATTTATAATAATACATTGAACTAGAAGTTGTTTGGCTTATTATATTTTAATGAATCCCCTAATGAAATCACATGGGTCTAGTGTGAGTGGACCCCACTTGATATTAGTTTAAACTCTTCTCTATCTTTCACCTCGGAAGCCTTTCATTTAACTATGCTTTCATCAAACACAATCATAATATTTAATGATTGAGGCCATGTTGCATGAGAGAGATGTTTGGCTTCTCATTGTGATTATAATTATTCTTGTCTTAATTTCTTTTTAAAAAAGAATGACAAACACGTCATTTTCATGGACAATAAGGTACGTTGCTAGCCCAGCAACAGATTTGCAAATTATATTTTTAATGCTATTATTAATTTTGAATACTGTGATCTAACCGAAGAGGGTACTTGTTATGGTGGATTACTTGCATTTTTATGCAGGTTGCAAATATTTTAATTATGGGTAACAAATAGATGATTAATGCTCATTTTGTTAGCGAAGCATGCCAGTGGTCCTTGTGAGAGGGCTGCACTGTCTGTCCCACGTAAATTAAATGAAAAAATAAGTAAAAGAAAATGGAGAGGACCACCCTTCAATCTTGGGCAAGTCATCAGTATAATAATTAAAAAGGGGGGAATGGTGGTGGTGGGTTCCTTTATCAATTTGTTTCTTTCTTTCTTGTTTATTATTTAAGTTAAAGAAACTTGGTGGATAATTAAAAGAGTGGTACATGAATAAAAAGAAATATGGATAATGACATGAAAGGAGAAGAAAAGGAGAGATGGCAATAGGAGAGTCATTGATGGAATCCTTACCAAAACGTTAAAATTATAAAGAAATATTATGCAGATTTTTATGCAGATTCATTCACAAAAAAATAAGGTTTAAATTAACTTTTGATCTTTATAATTTTTCAAATATATGATTTTAGTTTTCCAATTTTTTTTATTACAAATTTGGTCTTGTAGTTATCAAAATTAAGTAATATTTGTCCACGGTAAAGATGCTATCCAAAATTAATCAAGAAATACTATTGTGGAATGTGAGTGACAATAATTGATAATTAGTCACTTAGAAAAACAATAGTATCAAAAATTAAAAATAAAATTATTTTAATAGATTATAAGATTTAATTGAAATAAAAAAAACATAATATATTTGTAGTAAAAACAACGTTTCTTATATGAAAGTTAGGATAACTATGTAATTGTTATGATAGTCTACTATGGTTATTACACTTAACGAATCATCAATTAATTAATGGTGAAAACAACTAATTGCCTAGGATTCATATAATCGTAATATCTAGATGAGCCATTGACACCCATATATATATATATATATATATATAAAGTGTAATTGAAAAGTAAAGTAACTATACAGACATATATAAAATCTTATATATAGTAATCTAATACTATAAAATATAAACCCAAAGTTATCGTTCAAGCAATTTAACAAAATTTATACCAAAGTAGCCTCTTATTACACTATCATCTAATAGCATGGCTCTCCACAATCTAACTCTTAAAACTTATCTTTATGGAAATCTTAAAGAGGAACTAGATTGTTATAGTTTCTTCTTCAAACTTATTCCTAGATTTTTTTTTTCTTGACATTCTTCAAGCTTCTTCAAGGTCTCCAATAGAGTAAGAAACCTTTGGATTCACCTTTTATGGTGAAAAACTCTCTTCAAGGAAGAAGATAAACTACTTCAAATCTCACTATACAGAGAGGATAAGAGAATTTGAAATAAATCAAAGATAGATTTAAGCTTTTGAGAGAGAGGATTCTAAGAGAGTATTTCAGCCAACTCAATAAAAATGCTAAAAAATTAGTACAAAATGGGTCGATACTACAATATATAAGTTTAGTTGACTTATAGTGTAAGCTAGAATAACCATGATTAAGTGTAACCATGGTTAGCTATCTTGTACTTAAGATAACTAATTTTAGTCAAGTGTCTACAAGTCTAATTAGTTGTCTAGAAACTTATGGAGTAAGCTAAGTTAATCCGAGTTTAAGAATAACCTATGGTGGTTTAAATTAACTCCAACTATCTAACCTAATCATTACAACTACTAAACCAATGACTACTTTTAACAAATTTGTTGAAATGTTACTATCAAAGTCATGTGACTTAATTTGTAGTTTGGATGGCAAGCTTGGCATGGTTTTGACGTCCAAACCACTTGCATGAACAAGTGGACATCCAAACCTATGGGTCATAAAAAGATTTGGGCCATCCAAGCCCAAATAACTCTAACAAGACTTTGCTAGTTATACCTTCTCTAATCTATTAATTACACCCTCAAGTAATACAAGGACAAAATCCTACACTACATGACCCATAATCCAAGGCCAAAAATATCCTAATACAATCATCACTAAAATGAATTACAAGAAAAATTTATAACAGTAATAAGAGTCCTTTAATGTAGGATAGGTCTCCAAGGTAGGGATCCTACAAAATAAGGGTTGGTGTCCTACAATTCTTCAAACTAACTTTATCATTTTTTACCCTTCTTGGTCTTATCTCTTCTAAAGGGACCCTTGGGAAGTAGGTTTCCATCATATCCTAGTCTTGCTTCCATGAAAAACACGATTATCAAGTCCAATCATTAGGAAAACATCCAAGGGAAAATTAGAGTACAAAAAAGTAATCATACAACAAATATAGAAGTAACACAATTACACTATTAACAACAAGAAAGTAGCGCAACATGGCATCAAACAACTTACAAATGTAAGCAATTCAACCACATGACAATTCATATCTCACAACATTCATGCCATTCAACCACTTGATCAACAATCATATGAACATCATTGATAGTTCATTTTGGGAAGCAACTTTGTATTCATTTATTTGGCCTTTTTGACCTTTGTATGCGCCTTATATTCATGTTTTGGCTTAGATTTATGATAGTGGTGAAGTTAGAAAAAAAAACACACAGAAAGGGGGGTTGAATGTGTGTGAGTGTGAACAAGGAATTTTTAAAAAATGTTTTCGCAAGTGGAATCTTCTTCGTCCAGTAAAAATGTTATTTTGAATGCTTAATCGAAACTGTGCAGGATTGGTTCAACAGAAGATGTTTACGTCTGAAATTTTATCATCTGCACATGAAAATATTCCTTAAACAAAAATATTTCTTCAGGATAATTATTTAAACGAGTGTGGTTATCGTCTGAAGGTAATTGTAATGGATGATAATCATTGGACGAAGTTTTTAGTATGTTAAATCAACTAAACAAAGGTGCGTTTGAAATATAGGAAAATGGTGTAAGTGTTTTTATACTGGTTTGCTCAAATTGAGTTACGTTCAGTCTCTTTCAAATGAAGGATTCCACTAGATATTCAATGAAGTACAAGTATTGTTTGTTCAGCCTCTTCAGGCTTGCAGCGAGTATTATAGACCACCTAGGTCACGACCACTCCTAGTCGGCCAACTTCACTCTGGTCCGCAGTATTATCAACCACTCCTGGCTCGTCAACTTCACTCGCTGATTCTAGTATTCTTTGACCAGCCACTTCTGGCTCTCAGTGAGTATTATCGACCCCCTCCTGGCCTGCTAACTTCACTATTAGCGCTAGTATTCTTTGATCAACCACTTTTGGCTATTAGTAAGTATTATCGACCAACTCTTGGCCCGCTAACTTTACTATTAGCACTAGTATTCTTTGATCAGCCACTTCTGGCTCTTAGTGAGTATTGTCGACCAACTCCTGGCCCGCTAACTTCACCATTAGCGCTAGTATTCTTTGATCAACTACTTCTGGCTCGCATTGAGTATTCTTTGACAAGCCTCTCCAAGTTTTACAAGTATTCTTTCCTTAGCCTCTTCAGGCATTACATATGATAACTAAGTTCGTTTGGTTTGAGTGTTTGGTTTACTCTCATAGAGAGGATACATTTGTTTGTACACTCACTAAGGTATGCAACCTTAGTCTTATAACGATTGAGTGTATGGTTTATTCTCACAGAGAGGATACAACAATGAATACAGTCACTAAGGTTCATGTTCCTAAGTTACACTTAGAACTCCTTAGTCTATAGAGATAAA